CTAGTCTTTCTACAATTGAGTATAAATAAAATATTTTTTCAATTAGTTAATTGTATCTGAAGCCTACTGATACAAATACTAGAAGACTAAGCCGAAAACATTTTGGTTGTCCTGAGTGTATTATTTCTGTGCAATTTGGAAAGAATGTTAAATTGTACGTACAGGGTCCTGATAAGGCAAAGCTAAAGTCGTCATACAATTTTGTGAAGTGCATTTTGGAAACACGTGGAAGTGAGACTTCAAAAATATTTCTGATGCAAGAAAGTATACAAATCAGCAGGACATCATCAAAAAATGGATTGTAGAGATTATTTTTTCATCTCACTTGGACACACCTCACTGAATAAGGCATGTTCCTGCATGTACACCATTGAATGCAATCTCTATTTTTCAACTATTTATAGCCAGAAAAAAGTGCAGATTCATGTGTAGACCAGTGTCTGGCCATTTCCCAGACTTCTGGGAAATAGTTAGCAAATGAAAGTGTTCAAAGTTCATTAAGCAATTAACAAAACAGTTTCATAATCAAAAAATCACATAATTTAAACCAAGACACAGAATAGTTTGGATGGTGAAATAGCACATCTGGAGCTTGGATGAATGGCTACATCAAATGTACACACATTTTACATTTCAGTAGTGACAAAGAACCTGTAATATCTTGATTCCTCATTTAGTACATTATTGCAGGATAAATATAGAGTCTGAGCTTTGATGAAAATACAGACTCTGTTTTTTCCGCTGTGGTAGATTATCAATATGCTATCCGAGCCCTAGTTATTTTGCACAGAACTATACAGTGGGATACTTCCTGTGGTTTTTTTTTCAGATGTTGCGATTCTCATAGCCTCATACAATGGTCTGACAGGACTTGTATTTCTGATGTCACCACCAGCATATCCATTTATTCCATTGCATGAATCAGTATTTTTGCATTAACGAAATAGTATACAATGGTATCACTAAAGGTCCTGGTGAGGAATTTCAGGAGTGCAAATTCTCCTCATTTATACTGCTGTAACTTAGACATCAGTGCTCCCATATCAGTTACTTGAGGCTTAGTCATGGTTCCTTCACTTTGCTTTTCACAGGAACATATTTTCTTCACATTGTTGCGGTAGGTAAAGGCCCTACTATATTTTTTTTTCTGGGATTAGTGAGTGAAAAGACATCAGTCAGGTATCTGAGATTTATCATGTTTCATTAGAAAATCCCAAAACTTATTCTGAGAAAGCTTCCATATAGTTACACAGGAGGTTTCAATATTTGAGCAGGTAAGCATAACTATAAATCATGATCTGATAGGTTCACACCAATTAATTTTTCATATTCAATTTCTTGCTTAAAATGTGATTGAAAACAACTTTTTTTTTGCATGTGTCTGTCATTTGCAGTTACACTAAAACTGTTTCAGTCAATGAGCTTTTTCTGAAAAGTACCATCAGTTGACTAGCTGCAGCAAAAAATGTGTTTATTTCTTTCTCCAATTTCTTATGAAAGTAGGAGGATGAATTCTGCCCCACAATCTGACTTAATAGAGTAAATAATGATACATGATACTTCAAAAGATGGGCTATCTTCATGCATTAGTTTCACAATCACTCCTTGTAGCAGTTATGACTGTGTGAAAAGAGACAACCAGCTCCAGCAGGGGCATGAATTACAAAGTTGTGGTCATACACTGGCATACTTGTGTTACTAAAGCTACTAACCTTCAGTGAACTTTATAACCTGAAATGTCTTGAATGAATTCTTATATAAAAATGTAACTGTTTTTCTGTATCTAAAGTTTACTGTAAAAATGGAAATACATGTTCTTCTTCCTAAACTCCTTCATTCTTTCATCAAATGTGCTTGCTTTAAATTTGTTGCTTTTTCCACTGTATAAACTAGGTGGATCTGAATATTTACAGGAAGAATCTAAAGCATTTGGTCACTATTAGTGTGAAGATAGCTAACTCACACATGCAAAAAATTAAAGAAACTTACAATTTTTCAAGCAATTTTTGTTTTGTTTTGTGGCTATACAGCACCAAACCACATCCTGTAGTACAGCAGATCTCTTCCCTTTTTATTTTTATTGTGCAGTATCATTTCAGAATAATAAAACAAACAAGGACAATACTCTTATTCTCTATTCCTCACATTTTATTGTTTTTATTTAAATATATTATACATTGTTGCTCAGTGATTTTTGTTTCCCCTTTCTTTCCTAAAATCCTCCCCCCTGTTTTCCTTTTGCCTCAGGAGTGTGTTACACTGAGGGTGACAGAAAACAGCTTATGGTTGAGGATTTGTGATACTCCAGATAGAGTGTCTGCAGTTTGCTCCCACTACAGTGTGTATTACAGTATACCAAACACACAGGAAACATTGATTCCTTAAAGGTTATTTTTTGATTTTGGTTAATTTTCAGAAACCACTATTCATGTCATAAATGGCCCCTGACTCACTTTGGGAAAGTGATATTTCCTGATTTTGGCCTCTGAGCAGCATGGTGTTTTGAGTACTATGACAATATTTATGCAAAACCCTCCCCACACCAAGTCATCTAGGTAATTCCGCCAACAGATTTCATTTGTACCGTAGATGTTCTTTAAGTGGTCATCCAATACTGCATCTGCCCAAGCTCACACTGAATGTTCACGGAAGGTGGTCCATTCTGTCTTGTCGGATTTAATTACTCATTATAAATTTTAAATAACAGAATCTAATTTTTCTCATGGTACTTAAGTTCTGCTGTGACCTGCAATTACATTTAAAATCTCAAATTCTTATTTCTTTTTCTAGAAAAATCTCATTTGTGAAGAAGAGACCTGGAAATAAAGTACTGTGAAATACAATGTCAGCTATTAGCTAAAATGTTGTCTCTTGATGAATTCCTGGTTTTAAAACAGTTGACTTTATTTAAGGACAGGAAATATAATCTGACCATTTTCTATTTTATGGGAAAGCTACTACTTTCTGCCCTTTTTAAAAAACAGCTAAAATTTAAATAACAGATTAATGCTGGTTAAACATTGACTTAAATAAGTTATAGAAGATTCCAACAACACCAGCCTTTATAGAGGTTAAACATTCTCAAAAAGACACATTAAGCAAGGTTCTCCTTTGTACTAAAATACATTTTCCAAACAATAAAAATAAAACCAACTTTTCACAGCAAGAAATATTGAAGATAAAACTGCAGCATCAATATAATCTCATAGATACCACAAAGTATTTAGAACAAAATAATATTATACTACTTTTGTTTGTTACTAAAGACACTGCAAAGGCTTATTTATTTATTTAGTGGAATACAATGTGAAGACAGTGGTACAAATTGTTTGATGTACTGTTTTCTACTTATCTGCTCTAACAAAATGAATCTCAATGTGGTTACATTGGTGAGCTATCCAGAGCTCTCTAAAATTACAGAGTAAAGCAAAACATAAAACAAATCTTATGTACCTTTAATTGAACAGACTTCATATTATGCTTAACTTTGTTATACTGCAGCTGCTCCAGTTAAGCCATGGGACTAGTAACACTTCATAAAAATGTGCTGGATAGGATGTATTTAGAGCCTTCAGTTACTATGATGGATATGAACAGCATGCTAAAGCTGGATACCAGCACAACTTTTTGGTTGGCTCTCATATATAATATACATGTGAGTAATAATCTCTGATAAATGCATGAGCATGATTTTGGATCCCCTGTCCCTCCGTCCTTACTTACGTATCACTTCTGCTATATCCCCATGATTCTACAAGGCAGTAACAATGACAAATGTGCTGAACTGGTATATTAACTTAATAAGGAGTGCAGGACTGTGTTGCCTTCTTACTCACCTTTCAGAGGCCAAATTTTACACTTGGGAGTTACACACCGTTTAATTTTAACATTTGCAGTCTCAGTGACTTCAACAGGGCTGTCCACATCGAGGATCCAGCCCAATGCTTGCTGAAGAATATTGCACTGATTGCAATGCATTAGATTTTAGTTCCAAATTAAAAGGAAAGTCAGATGAATATACGCACAGATGCATTGACACCCAAGTACAGATGTGGCCCCTTCTCTCAATTTCAAAACAGAAGGAAGACCCTTTGAAAAAAGTATTTCTGGAACTTTGTTCTTGAGTGCTGATAAGTAAAAAAAAATTTCTCTGACATATAGACACTCAACATCGTAAATTCAAGCACTGCTTGTTTGGTCTTTTTGCTTAAGTGCAAGACAGTTTTGGAGAAAAATGGATTATACACATTAAATTCTGCCTTTAAAGCCTTGTCTAATACCTGTTCTCAGAATACTTTGAGGTTTTGACATTTTAACCTATCAACCTCTGTGTGAAGTACCCATAAAAAGGGAAAATAACAAAGAAGCAAATGAAGAAAACATATTAAATCAAAAAGATATTTAACATCCTATTAAATAAATAACTTAGAGAGGAATAAAAAGAAATGAAGTTAGAACATACAAGCAAACCATAATATTCGTTCTGTTAGAACAGGTTTACACTATGTTTATATTCCTTAACCCTATCCATTCTTCCACAAGGCTTCTCCAGAAATGTCATTATTTGTGCATATGACCCAAGTGCTTCCAGTAAATGCTTGTGTGTCTAAATGTTCATTGGATCATTAGGCTTGAAAAAGCAATTAAGGTCTTTAATATGAGTTAGTATTCCATAAATAACTTTCCCCACAAAGATCATTCAACAGATTGTCTCATGTCCCTTAAGTTCTGTTGTAGAGATTAAAAAAAAAAAAAAATTGTTCACACTGGCAATAACTTCTATCCCCTTTGATCCAGCTTGTATCTTGATTATAAGATATGACACTGAACTAAATACAAGTATTTCATGTACCAGCAATGAGTACAAAATTTAAAATGTTTCCCCTTCTCTCCTTTCAAATAAGCAGATATCTGCACTATTTTTTTCTGCATTTACTCTTCAAGAGGATTACCAAAGAAGAGGCTTTGGTTCAACTGCATCAATAAAATAGTTCCTTCATCTATGACATTACTACCATCGGAAGAAAGTGAGCTGAAGTGTTTTTCCTTCTTGTTTTCTGTCCTCTCTTTGTGGCTCCCCTTCCATTCAGGGCCACAAACATTTGCCTTCCATTGTGCTTCCAATTTAAGGATGCGTATGTGTTATATCCATTTTCTTCTATTCTTTCCTTCAATTTGCAATCACTGTTGAACTCCTTCTGTTAAAAGAAAAAAACAAATAGACAAATCAGAATAAACAACCTCTCAGAGTTGCAGCATTCTGAAGGTAAATAGATTCTAAAAATGTTTCGAAAGATTGCAGTATTATGTATGTGACACCCTTTTAGGATTCTGCAGTGCATTTAAAGAAAAGTTTCACTGTCCACAGCATCTAATGCAACATCAGTTAAGACTGCAAAAAGTGAAAACAACAAAAGACATAATCAATTATTCAGTGCATAATTATAGCAGTGAAATTATATTATTCACTCATTGCTGAAATTATACTTCTCTGTGTTGGAATATAGCAACAATACTAAATCAAATTCCCACTCATAAACTCAAAGTATGAGGTAGAAATATTGGAATAATTCATCATATTTCAGTTCTAACAAATACAACTCTTAAATATCTTGAACCAGATTATTGGCACCACATGTTAAACAAATATGCCAACCTCTTATTTAAAGTAAGATCCTTTACAACACACTGGCCATGAAAAAGGGCTTTTTTGGATGGGTGTAAATCACTGTTATGCTGCTGTTACAATGGATGTGAGGTCTTTTTACTTTGCTGACCTGAAGAGTGGCTTAGCCTAAAAAAGAATCGTGTATGATCCTCTGTCTTATTGACCAAATAAACTTGAAAGCAATTTTGCGTATGGTATCAGGCATTAAGGTTTTCTATTTTTAAAGGTGAAACAGTTGTCAGCTTGTTAGAAATAATAAAAAAAAATACAGGCATGCAGAAACATGCAGGGGGAGATATTTATTTTTCTATAATGTTAAATGTACTTTTATGCAGATCTACTTCCCTATAATGAAGATGAGAACACTTTGTTTTCACAAACAAGGAACTTCTACATGTTAAAAAAATCAGTTTTACTTACGTTCCACTATGTTCTAGTTACTTATGTTCCATTTGGAAGGTTTTTGAAAGTGGGACATTTACAACATGAGTTACAAATAAAAATTAGCACTTTTTTGTTTCTGTATTTCAGAAAATAAGATGCTATTTCACAGCTCAGGCAGATGTATGTCAGAATCTCAGAGTATCATATATTAACTACATGTGGTATTTTTAACATATCTACAAACAAGAGAAAATATGTCTGAATAATAAAAAAAACTTCATGGTACAGATAAGAATTTCAAGGATGTTTTATCTTTTATTATGATCAAAACCCTTGGATATTTATCTGGTAAAGATGTACAAAGTATCAACATTAATAAAAAAGGACATAAGAATATTAAAAAAATATTTTCCATTCCTATTAATTCAAATTATAATTTTTAAACTAGTTATGTCCAGTACTTTGATACAGTAAGAATTTTTGGGTCTATAGTTAATGTTTTATTTAGTTGCTGCTAATACCACAGAACACATGCTTATGTTTTCTAACAGAATTGCACATATTCAAACTCAATTTGGCTCCCAAAACGCTTTCTGACTTTGGGATTAGTAGCTAGTTGAACAATGACTGTTGGCGAAGACACTATCAAGAGAAGAGTCTCTATAAAACCACTCTTGATACTGCCTGTATTTGCAAAGCTACATATAGATAACTTAATATTTATTTGCTATAATACAGCACCTCTAGCATCAAGGTATTAAGAGGGCAGATGGCCATCAATCAAAGTTCTAAACTGGAATAACTTCTCTCTACCAGCAGTTTGTTTTGTTAAAGAAACCAAATAGTGAGTCTTCTTTTACTCCCTCATTCTAACCAAAGTCAGTCAAATGGAAACATATTTGATAAACATAGAAACAGTCTTACTTGACTTGTATTCCCAAATGCAGAATTGTACTGCAATCCAAACTTTTATCACTATTCTTAGATAATGCAGAGAGAACAGATGATGTTGTGATGTGGTTAAGAAGTCTTATTGGCAGGTGTCTAAGTGTTAGCCCAAGACTGCTTTGCTCATTTCAAACAAATTTCAGCATAACCCTGCACCAATGTCTATCGTGCACATGCTTAAGAGTGTTTTTACAATTTTTATTGGTTCTGTTTTTCATATCTATCTGCAAGCTGACACATTGTAGTAATATGAGTCTAACTGCAAGTCTTGGAAGGATGGGAAAAATAATAACAGAAGCATTCTTGAAATCTCTGAAGTATTATGGAATAAGTTTTGATAAGTTATTATGTTGTGATTTTATGACGTGAATATTGAAAAATTATCTCAGAGGGAATTAAAAAAAAGGCTTTCCACATTCTTATCCTCCTGTCAAGACTATTTCTAATACACTACGAATTACTGAATCTTATGGCAGCAGTTTCCACCTTTCCTACATGAAAGGTCCTTTGACTTCTTCTGTGTGTATACAGGGTTGGGGTGGATTATCATCACACCAGACAAAGCTTTACAACTTGGGTCAGAAAACTTATCTCAGGCTTTGGGACAGACCATCAAAAATTATGACATTAAATGCTGTAAACTGAGATGTGAATTGAAGATGGTGATTTATGCAAACACCTTCACATACCTACAGAAGCACACCCGTGATCAATGAGTGTACCTTAACTGACAAACGGCAACTTTGTCAGCAACTCAGTGTACCCTTACACCTCTCAATGGTGCAGGACTGAGCACTGCTTATCCTGTATTTCTGACCAATGTAATTCTAGAAATTAAAATCCACATTTACAAGAGTTAATAAACATTCCCCTGTTGTGCTCTTTCCTTAATGTGATTCTTTGATAATGCCCAGGAGTTTAGAAAGTCAGAAGTAACCTTTTGAACCAGGAATGACTAGCCACAGTGCAGATGAGGGAGGACAGTTTATACAGTTTGTATGAACTAAATCAACTCCATAGAAATGTTTTCTTAAAAAAAGAGGGCCAAATGACACCAAGCCCCTCGACTCTCAGTTGATATTGGCATGACTTCACTATTTTCAGCAGAGGAAGACTGCACAGCTACACTGCCCAAGGATAAGCCCAGACCCAGTACCAATCTGTGACCTGCCCTCTGTAAAGCCTATGAATGTTCTGAATACCAAACAATCTGAAGACTGGCTTATAACCTTATCTCCAAACTTGAGTAAGTTTACATTTATGTGGGCTCAAATACATGGGAACTGGAAAAAGTAGCAGTATTACGAACTAAACCAAATGTAATATCAGAACAATTTGGTATTTCTGTAATCACATGGGTGTGTGAAGGTACACTTGGGCTTAGTAGTCTGATTTATAGATCATATTGCTTCCTATTAAAAATATTTGGGTAGTTACTGGGTTTTGTTGGGTTGGGGGTTTTTTTTGTTGTTGTTTTTTGGGGTTTTTTCCCCCTGAAATTATCAGTAACCCCAAATTTTCACATATACAGAGTATATATGGACAATTTTCAAATGATACCCAAATTCTGTTCAGTCAATGCTTATCCATCTGCTGATATGTAAGTTTTTATCTCTCTGTACTGCCAATAATCTTGTATAGTAGTTAATACAGTCAATTAAAAGCTGGCTAGTCTAGAAATCTTCTTCTTGAAAGTTGTAGTTTGATAATGTGGTGTGTCATCAGATGAAGTTTCCAAGTTTTCAGGTAAAATTTATACCCCGCAGAATTACTGCTTAATGTGACTGCACTGCAGAAAAACAGGGAAAAAACAGCCTTAAAGATTACATTTTGCAGAACTGTCTCCACTGGCCGCTACTTAATAAGAAATCTGACTGAAGCAGTAAGCATAATAAATCCCAGCAGGTGCTTTGGTATGATATGAGCTTAAAAAACAACACAGAGCATGTGGAGAAGTGGGCTGCTGGTTTGCTAGAGGATGAAATTTTGATGAACAGCTCTAATTAGTAGTACTATACAGACAAGTGTGGTTTTCAGTAGGTAAGAGAGGGAACTGTGCTGAGCAGTGCGATCCATTTAGAAGGTAAAAAAATACTTACAGAGCCGTATACTTTTCCTTTCTTGTTCATGGCTAAATAATAGTTGCTCTTAATGGACTTAACTGCCACAACTCCAATTTCTACAGAGGTTATCTCCAATATGCCTGAAAAATAAAAATTGAGCTATTTGATCATTTCATTAGAGGATTTATCTCACTATAGAAAAGACAATAAACCTTTAGAATAATAAAGTTCTAATATCAGAACCAACTGGACAAAAAACTTAAGCAAAATTCTTCTCTAAACCATTACAAAAATACACACAAACATTGTTTCAATTAACGTTTCCTTTTCTAACTCTGCATTCTAAACCCCATAAATACTGAAACAACTCAATTCTTCTAAGCATAGATTTTACTAAAATTTATCAAAGATACATCTGAACCACAGCATTAAATTAAATCTATAGCATATGTTAATAGAATGTGAGATATACCTCAATCTTCAAAACCAACGGTAAACTATGTATTCCTTGTAGGACATTCAGATAAACTAAATCTCTTGGCTGCACTGAGCTGGTAAATTCACTTTCGGCAAGTGTGCGGGATACAGTAAGACTAACCCTAATGGTCACAATATCTTCGTCTTTCACATACCAGAAACATTTTGCTCTGTTTGTAATAAATATGATTAATTTTTTTTTTTTTTAAACAAACTTGTTCTGTGATACTGGATGGCTCAAGGGGCCAGTAATGGGAGACAGAGCTTTTAATCTCTATATTTTCTGCCCAAGAGCATACTCATTTGGGAGTAGTAGAAATTACTACAACTTACATAGTGACTTTAGAGATCCCTTTTCAGCTATTTCTAGAGTAGCTAGACGGCTACGTTGTCTGGGCATCATGTCTTAAAACAGGATAAATATGGCTCCAATCAAAAAACTTCTAAATGGTTTATCCAGGTAGTACGCCTGCATCCAACATTTCTCCTAATATTAAAGTAGTCAGAACAGTAGCCCATCTAACTCAGTGTTCACTAATGGGGAAATTACAGGAGGGGCAAAAGTGCTGAGAAATTGTAAAGAATAACGTAGACTGAGCCAACACATAATGGATCAGCTGGAACAACATTAATGAGTTGCTACCTGCTTAAAAAAAAAAAAAAAGGCTCTGCAATAATTCCCTCCTAAATATGTTCTATATTTTTTGTCTGAGCAGGGTTGTACTGGAAAATTCATATGCTTCTTCATTTACTTAAAAATGCCTTATGCTAACCACACATTAACTGAAGCCAAAAGTGTAACTTGGTATTCAGTGGTTTTTTTGGAAATGCTGATTTTCTGTTCCTGAAAACTGCAGTCTGTTCAGACTGTGGAAGAATGTGGACTTTAGTGTGCGGAGGAGGTGAGGAGGAAGCTTTTTCACTGTAAATTTTTTTGAAAATGGCTGCTTTATACACGATGCAAAAGACATTCTGTATGGCCATTGAACCTGTCTATGCAACTCAGGAGCAAGAGTGTTGCTTGTTCCATGACTAGAAGTAGAGGCTTTGATATTAGCTGGGCAGTGGCTGTGAATCAAGCTTGAAAAATTAATAGCTAATTTTTATTGTGAAGTAAACCGATGACATAGTTTATGCATGTGAAGAAGAGACAGAACATCAAGAAGAAAGACGGCCTTTTCTTGTCAAGAAAGAAGAGGTGGCCTTTCCTGGATGCATTTTAAAATATATGTAAAATACTATATGCATACAAACTACATAAATTTTGATATGAAGATATATATAAATTCCAATGCAATTACCAGAGGTTTTGTCTTAGCAAGAAGCATTAAATTGGTCACAGCTGCAAGGTCTTTAGTCCTTGCATATAAGAAAGACTTCAGTGAGAACTACAAGATAAAAAACAGTAAGTCTAGGATCTAGTAGAGTCCTTCAGAAAATGGACCGTATTAAACCAGAAACAATAATAACTAACATTAAAAAAAAGTTTCTGGTCCAAACCTGCAAAGCTGAAAGTGTAGGATTATTTTGTTTAAATATTGTTAACAAAATGCAAAAATAAATGTTGATAGACACAAATGATCACATATTATTAAGAAAAACCCTGATAAAGCCTTCTCCTGGAAGATTAATATGGCAAGATTCTTAATTGCAGCATGACTTGAAGAGAGTGAATGCACAATTACATATGGAAAGTCTGCCACCTCTGAGGGGATAAAAACAACAGTTCCCCAAATCAACTCACTCCATCATCAGCAGCATCCAACTCAGTAGCAGCAAAGGCCCTTCTGATATCTGGAACTGCCTAACTACTGCCAAACAGAGAAGATATGGCCAGTTATTCAAACGAAAACTATAAACACAAGTTACATAAGTTACTTATATGTAATGTTAGCTTGAGAATTAGCACAAGGTGCTTATGTGGAAGAGGAGCTATAACTTTGGGGAGCTTTGTAATCTCAGAAGACCCATAAAATGTGAGGGAAATGTCAGTTAAGACCCATGATCTACTTTTACGGCTAAATTGTCTGCTCTTGCAAAGGAGCAATATACGTAAAATGAAGAGAATTATACACTCTAATCTCAAGAAAAGTTGTGAGAGCTCCTTAATGAGGTCTTGATCATCAGCCCCTATATACGAGTGCCACGCCATTGATACAAGCAGATCAGTGAGTCCACACCAGACAAGACCTAATATGCTTATGTTACACTTAAAGCGTTGCTCACTTTCACAGCAAAGAAAAGACAAAGTTACTTTCTTGATTTTCTGTGAGAGCACCAAAAAAAGAGCAGTGGTCTTTAATACCTCTCTCACATGGGACATCTTCTGAAGTATTTGTGCTCAAAATCAAACAGACTTAACTGCAGTGCCTGAAGTTATGTGGACGACAAGCTATTGGAGGGTAAGAATGTGGTGCAAACACTGCTACAACGCCCACTTCTTTTTAGATGAGTGACATGGGGTTTTTCTTTTGTTTTTTTCCATGACAAAAAGTGATGAGAAGAATTTAGTTAAATCTTTCTACAGAAATTAACTGCTATAGTCTGAACTGTGACACCAGTAAAACTAGACTGGGTCAATTTCTAATGACAGCAGTAACAACAACAAAAAAAGAAGACACTGGCATAACATGTGCCATTACTAAATTTTATGTTGAAATGGATTAAAGTGAGTTTTATTTTGTCATATTACCCTTGTTACAATAACACCATATTAGACCATTTAAATTGATTATTATATTACACTTGCAGCTGAAGGAGAACAGTGTTCAAATAAGAAACTTGCACTGAATTAACCCATTTCAAGTATTTTGCACTTGAATGATGGAGATATACTGCTCTTAGGACAATACCTAAACTAAAGTAACAGAAGTATTAATACAATTCATGAAAATATAGTAATTTTCTCTGGTAAAGTTTGTTTGCAATCTCACACTCTATTACATCCCCACTGGGGCAGCTGAAAGGAGGTCATGAGGAGAATGTTACCACGTTTACATTATATCCACAGTAATTAGCTTGATTCTACCTAGTTATGCTATTTGACCAGAGCCAAATGAAGCTGATTTCTTCAGAACTATTATCAGTTTGATATCATCACCAATGATTCTGGATTTATTCTCATTGAGTGTGATTTGTGTATTTGGAAGCTGAAAAAGGTATAATTTTCAGTGACAATTTTGCATATTCTAACCTCTGCAGTACTTTGTGGGGAAAAGGGGACATTTTAATGGCCGTTTTTCTTTCAAATGAATTTAATCGTCTTGATCTATTACTCCTTGGGTATTAGGGACCTAATTTGGCACTTATCTACCCTCCATACACTCTGGAGAGTTCACTGGAGTTACATGACAGTTACAAGCACAGAACTAGCTTTTGTCTAGATTGAAAATTATTCAGTATTATATACAGATTTTGTCAGGAGGATATTCTCTTGTGAGTTAGTTAGAAATCTACTGAAGGTAATATGAATTTTTTCATAGATGTCAGTGATATAGACACAAATTTCAAAGGTCAGCATGAAAGCACCAACTGATCTGAAATGGATCTACAAGCAGAAGCTGTAATGACTTCAGAACTTTGAAATAGACTAGATTTAAATCAAATACCTTTGATGTTAAGGCAAAAACACATATTTGATTATTGAGTTATTATTAAATAATGTATAGGAATGTATAAAAAAAAAGAAATTGAGACATACAGTATGAAGCTTAAAACTATAGTGTTTTTACCATCTAATGAAACGGAATTCTTCGAGGGCACAAAAAATTTTGTATTTTCCTCAAAGCTTATGTAGTATAGTCACAGGCTGTGATCAGATTTCTATACTACTGCAATAACAAACATAATTTCCATGGGCTCTCAAGATTAACTCTGTAAAGTTTAGTATTCTTCAAGTGCTCCAGGTTTGGAGGTAAGAGCCTATGTGTAGTTGTAGGCAATATGGTTAGAAGGATGCCAGACTGCTGTGGGTACTCCACTGGCCTTAGTTAGAAAAGCTCTTCTTGACAGATTAATGTTCTTAGACACCTTAAAGAAATGAAATTCTATGACCTCCTGGGTTATCTATTCCACTATCCACATTAGAAAGTTTTTCTAGTATTCAATTTAAATGGCTTTGTTGCAATTTGAGACCATTCTTGTTTAAACTGTAAACTAACATTAAAAATAGATTATTTTTTTTTGCTTTGCAGAACCATTTTACATATTCAGGAATTATTATCACACCTATCTATCTACCTACCAACTTTTGCTCTCTTAACAAGCCCAGTTTTTCAACGCATTCCTTAAAGCTTTTAGGTTTTCTAGACCTTTGAACATTCCTGTTGCTAGTGCCCACAGCATGGCCATAATACTCTCACTGATATCTTACCAGTGTTGATATATGAAGGAACATTTCATATTTCCTGCAAAGGATATACACATACTCATAGATTTATGCATAATTCTTTTTTTTAAATTAATTAATATGATAATACTGATGTATGTTTTATTTGAGATCCACTACCCTCAGATACAAGGAAGAAATGTAAGCAGTCATTCCTCATTCTATGGTTGTGAATTTGATTACTCCTAATTCCATGTTGTACTTCACACACATTCCAGCTAAGTGGTGCCCTGATCTTGGCTGGGTCAGAGTTTCTTCATAGTAGCTAGTGTGAGG